TCTCTTGAGACTACTCCCCTTTGTAGTCCACTGTAGTCCCGATTCAAGAACTATATATTATAATGTATCCCTCTGTATAGTGCTGCATTACTCTCTGAAGGCCTGAGTAGTCTCCTGATAATACTCCTCTTTGTAGTCCACTGTAGTCCCGATTCAAGAACTATATTATAATGTATCCCTCTGTAGAGTGATGCATTACTCGCTGAAGTCCTGAGTAGTCTCCTGAGACTACTCCCCTTTGTAGTCCACTGTAGTCCCTATTCAAGAACTATATATTATAATGTATCCCTCTGTATAGTGCTGCATTACTCTCTGAAGGCCTGAGTAGTCTCCTGATAATACTCCTCTTTGTAGTCCACTGTAGTCCCGATTCAAGAACTATATTATAATGTATCCCTCTGTAGAGTGATGCATTACTCGCTGAAGTCCTGAGTAGTCTCCTGATACTACTCCCCTTTGTAGTCCACTGTAGTCCCTATTCAAGAACTATATATTATAATGTATCCCTCTGTATAGTGCTGCATTACTTTCTGAAGTCCTGAGAAGTCTCCTACAGGGGCGGATACAAGGGGGGGCGGGGGGACATTCGCCCCCCTCCCTGACAGATTCAGGGAGGGGCGTAGCCCCCCCCCCCTGAGATTTCGAGGCAAAAAATGTTCCCAATTTGTTAAATGTTATTGTTAACGATAAATTTATAATTAGAAATTTGTAAGAAACTAGACTAAGCTATAATATTGTTCATATCTAGTAATGTTCCTTAATCAATAATCATTTATTAAAATTGTAATATTGTTCCTAATTTTCATGCATTTAAGTATAACTAGTAATTTCTTTTTGTTCTTAAATTGCTTATGTTCATATTATTGTTCCTGGATCCTGTGTCCGACCCACCTTAAATTCCTGTCCTAATCCTATATTTTTGTTCCTAATTCCTGAACAATCTTTTATTGTTTCTAAATCCCTGTCGGAATCCTTTAATTTTGTTCCTAGTTCCTGAACAATCTTTTAATTGTTCCTAAATTCCTGTTCTAATCCTTTAATTTTGTTCCTAAAATTTAAAAATATGGTTTTTTAGTCTTTGGTCATTAATTATGACACTTTTTGAGTCTTTTAAGTCAAAAAAAATTTCGCCAGCGGCACGATTTTTTTGTTCCTAACTATTCATTTTTTGGTTCCGAAAAAATCTTGCCCCCCCCCCCTCACTTAAATCCTGTATCCGCCCCTGCTCCTAAAGACTATCATTAGTCCTCCATCCTCTTTATTCTCCCTTCCCTTAGTCCTCTCCTAATGTAATCTCCCATTACCTTCATGTGGGTTGCGGGAAGACATTTCAAACATTCACATAATGCATATAGCTATAATTGTTTATCAAGTAGGGGGGGGAGATTTTATATAAAATGAAATAGACTAAGGTAAATTTTGAAAACAATGTCACCAAGAAAATGTTCAACTTCTTTTAAAGGATACACCACTTTGAAGATAAGGGCAAGCTCGTTTTATACCCACCACACCTGATTTTAACCTTTTCCCATAAATCTCCGGGGGGCAAGAGGACTACTGCCCCCCCCCACTGTGTACGCGCATGCAGCTTTAGTTAACATATATACAAAGGTGAACTAGGTTTGATGCAGGGGTAAGATAGGGGCGGGGAAAAGCGGCAGATGAGGGAAAATGAGGGGAGGGGAGAATTGTACCTATCTCATGCATCATCTAAGGATATATTGATTTTTTCCGAATAATAAGCGGTATCATGGTATCATGGTATTGAACAACAAGGTTGGAACAATGATGACAATTGTTAAACAAACTGTAATTTATAGCTTTTAAACAATACAAAGATATCAATTGAGAAATACCTTTTATTTGTGTAGGATCTAATATAATTTCTGCTGACAATCTTAAGTATAAAAAAATATTAGGTACCGATATACTATGTTATTTTAACTATATCTTTGTGTGCATTTATCGTATCTTCAATGTGCCAAAAAAAATATTGCTCGGAATAGTTGAAAATTTCATTCCGAAATTAGTTCATTTACTATCAGCAAGTGAAATAAAATAGAACCCTTTTTCATCTGGACAAATTATCTGTATTCAAGAACAGATTTCAGTTCTAAAAATTAACAAAGAAAAAATATTTATGCCTTTTTTGAGGCATTGAACATTATACTTTGCTTTATGTTCTGAATTCTGATAAATATTCTGGTCATCCTTTTCATGTCAGAACTATTGTGTTGTTAATCTTGTGATCAATCATTGATCTTCATCTTATTCAAATCTACGGATTGATTTAATTTCTCTCCGATATCCCGTTGAAGGCCATACCCTACAGCGATAACTTTAACTGAGGTATAAAGATTTGATCCTTAAATTTAAAGGGCCGAAAAATACTAGAAAGTTTTATAGTTTTTGATAAATTGCAGTCTCTCCTTATTTTATACTAAAAACTTTTAACATCCTTAAAAAAAGTTTTTAACGTTTTTGATAAAAATAGCAATCTATCTCTATTTTAAACTGAGAGATTGCGTCTAGATTTTTCAGTTTCTGGTTTTAAGTTCAATGGAATTGAGTCTTTGCTACAAACTCTGATTTTCAAACCCCTATGCCTTTGCAACCCAATGTTGTAGACCTTCGATATTTCAAACTATAAATTCTGTTAGATTAAATAATCTAAGTTTACACCATCGGGTGGGAAAGATAATTAGAAAATTTGAATATGCAGCAAAGACCAAACCTAAAAAGTGTCTGTTTAAACATATTTAAAAAAAGTTTTTACTGGTTTTGATAAATACACTAACCTCTTCCTATTCTAATCTGAGAGGTTTCGTGAAGATGTTCCAGTTTCTGGTTTTATAAATAAACTAGCTACAGTGCCTAGCGCGGGGTTGCCTGGTTATATAAAAAACTAGCTGCAGTGCCTAGCGCGAGGTTGCCCGTGAAATTAAAAAAAATCGAAAAAAATTAGATTGAAAAATTGAAAAAAAACCCGATTTTTAGCATAGGTTACCCCCATGTTACCAATGGGTTCTCTAAAAAATTCAGCCCATTTGGTCCAACAGTTTGACCTGCTATACAGGCACGTACACAGGTTTTCGCACGAACAATCCCCCCCCCCCCC